CAAACACAATTTGTGCTCGCACTCCTGCGTATTCTCAAGAACACAGTTTTTTGTTGTTGTTTTTTTTTGTCCCCACAATTTTCATAAGCATGCTGCCAAATGGGCCTCTCGCGCGCGCATGTCGAAGTCGTTCGAACGCCTCCGCGCGCGTGCTGTCGCAATAATCCCTTGCAACGAATGGGGCGGCGTGCGCGCGCGCGTCGTCGCGCGCGCGCATGCCGGAATCCGTCAAAAACTCAGGTGTAGTAGAGAGTTCAAACACCAGTTTCCCGAAACACATAGAAACACATGGTTCGGCAGCATCAGTCTTCAAAAAAGAAAACTGCTCTCGCGGTCTTCGGAATCTTCGGGGAACAATCCGTTCTCGCAGTTTTTTTTTTTGTTTTTATACCAAATTCGGCCAAGCGGGCCTTTCGCGCCGCGCGCAGACATCATTCGAACGCCCTTGCGCGCGTGCTTGGGGGCACGATCCGTGTCAACGAAGTCCATGCGGGCCACTCTCGCGCGTCGGCCGCGCGCGCATCTCGAACTCCATCCAAAACCTTCATCGCCGACGCCAGGACGCCGTCGCCGTCGCCGACGTGATCAGCGTCGGCGCCGTCACTGGCCGTGCCGTCGCCGTTGTCATTATCGTCACCGGCGTCGCTACTGTTATCGCCGTGCCTACCGTTGTCGACGTTGCCATGGTATCGCGCCCGCCTAAGTGGCCGACTCGCATTGAAGTGCCCGCTGGGAAGTGCCCGGAGGTCAGCGCCGCCGCGGCCGCGCCGGTCGCGCCAAACTAGCTTGCCGCTGCGCGCGCGAGCTTGCGCGGGCAAGCGCGACCGCAGAGATCCACCAGCTAATGCCGAGCATTCATCGCAATCGCCGCCGCGCATGTTCTGCAAGACGTGTTGCGGCGGGTGGGTGGGTGGGATGATTGCGCGTGCAGGGGAGGTGAGAATTGCGAGTTGCACAAGGAAATTTTCCTTCCTTAGGAGAAATCAGATTCGACATCCATCGCCCCCTCGAACTTATCGGGCCAGCCTCGCGGATTATAATTTACATATGATTCTGCCTCGTCGTTCATTTCCCGTATGAGTTCGTGCCATCCCAGCCATGCCTGAGTTTGGCCCCCTCCTCCACCCCTACCAAAAATTACTATGCTCGCGCATTCGTTGATCAACTACCAGTGGTCTTCAAAACCCTTTGCGAAACGCGGAACGAAGAGCGCGCGCGCGTCGTCGCGCGCCCATCCCGAAATCTTCCAAAAGGTTTCGTCAGGATTTCAAAATCGAAAGTCACGAGCGCATTCAAGAGTATGACAGTTACGCAGCATGGTCTTCAAATGACGCCTTCGCCCGCGCTCTTGCGAATTCTTAAAGACATTTTTTGGTGGCTTCACACTTTCCATAAACTGCTACCACACGGGTTTCTCGTGCGCGCAGGCGGAAATCGCTCGAACGTCCTTGCGCGCGTGCTGTCGTAAGAGACCTTTTCCAACAGATGGGGCGACGTGCTCTCGTGCGCGTCGTCGCGCGCGCATGCAGATTTTTCTCAGCAGCACCAGGTTTCGCAAGGATTTCAAAAACGACTGTCCGGAAACCATACAAAAAAACACAGGTTTTTTGCAACATCAACTTTCGGAAAAAACTGCGCCCGCGGTCTTGTGGATTCGTGAGAAAACCGTATGTTGTCAACATGCTCATCAAACTCGGCCAAGCGGGCTTGTCGCGCCGCATGTCGACATCATTCGAACGCCCTTGCGCGCGTGCTGGGGGGGGGGGGAATGATCCGTGTCAAAGAATACTACGCGGGCGTCTCGCGCGCGTTGGCCGCGCGCGCATGTCGAACTATGTCCAAAATTTTCATCGCCGACGCGAGAATATCATCATCGTTAGCGGCGGGCGTGATCAACATCGGCGCCGTCATTGGCCTTGCCGTCGTCATCGCCACCGTCGTCACCATCATCCCTACTCTTATTTTCGTGTCTACCATTCTCGGCTTCGCCATGATACCGCGCCCGCACAAGTCACCGATTTACACTGAAATTCCCGCTGGGAAATGCCCAGCGGTGAGCGCCACCGCAGCCGCGTCGCTCGCGCCAAGCTAGCTGGCCGCTGTGCGCGCTAGCATGCGCGGGCTAGCGCGGCCGCAGACACGCACCAGCCAACGCCAAGCACTCATCGCAATCGCCGTTGCTTGGGTTTTGCAAACGAACTGACGGTTGGGTGGGTGGGATGTTTGCAAGAACATGGGATTTGCCAACTCGTTTGAAAAAACACCACGTACATTGCAACACGTAGAGTGCCCAACCTAGATTCTCCTTTCTAAAAGAGTAATAGATTCTCCCCCCCCCCCCGGACTTATCGGTTCCCCCGCGCGTGCTGTAAATCACATATGATTCTGACCACATGTCCATCCTAAATATGAACTCGTACCATCCCAGCCAAGCCGGTATCCCCCCCCCCTTCGGTTCCCTTGTAAAAAACACTATGCGGTGACATGTTTTGTTCTAACATAGCATTTTTTCACGAATCCCTTGCAAAAAATGGGACGAAGTGCACACGCGCGCGTCGTGGCGCGCGCATGCCGAAATCCTTCAAAAACCTTCGGTTCCGGAGAGATTCCAAAATTGAATTTCCCAAAAACATATCAAAACACAGGGTTTCGCAACACTGATTTGCTAAAAAAAACTTACGCGCGAGCTCTTGCGAAATCTTTTAAAAAAACCATAGGTTTTCCAAGATTTTCACAAAATGCTACCAAACGGGCTTCGCGCGCGCGCATGTCGAAATCTGTCGAACGCCCTTGCGCGTGTGCCGTCGCGAGAATCCTTTGCAAACAATGGGACGAAGTGCAAACGCGCGCGTCGTCGCGGGCGTATGCCGAAATCCTTCAAAAACCTTCGGTTTCGGAAGGATTTCGAAATCGTGCGTCCCAAAAACCTACAAAAACACAAGGTTTCGCAACACGGGTTTTCAACAAAATTGTGCGCGCGCGCTCTTGCGTCGTCGTCGTCGTCGTCCTCCCTCCTCCCCGTCGTCGTCGTCGTCGTCGTCGCCGTCGTCGTCTTCTGTCTTTCCTCGTCGTCGTTGTCGTCGTCTTGGCGTCGTCGTCGTTTCCGTCGTCGTTGTCGCCGTGGTCGTCCTTCCTCCCTCGTTGTCTTCGTCGGCGTCTCGTCGTTGTCCCTCCTATTTCGTCGCGTCGTCGTCGTCGTCGTCGTCGTGGTCTTCACTCCTCCCTCGTCGTTATCCTCCTCCCTCGTCGTCGTCGTCCGTCGTCGGCGTCTCGTCGTCGTCCCTCCTATTTCGTCGCCGTCGTCGTCGTCTTCGTCGTCGTTGTCATCGTCGTCGTCTTCCCTCCTCCCTCGTCGTTGTCGTCGTCGGCGTCGCCGTCCTTCCTCCTTCTTCGTCGTTGGCGTCGTCGCCGTCTTCCCTCCTCCATCGTCGTTGTCGTCGTTGTCGCCGTCGTCGTTTTTTCTCCTCCCTCGTCGTCGTCTCCGTTGGCGACGTCGTCGTCGTCTTCGTCGTCGTCGTCGGCGTCGTTGTCGTCGTCGTCGGTGTCGTCGTCGTCGTTGTCGTCGTCGAAAACATTGGAGACGTCGTCGGTGTCGTCGCAGTCGCTGTCGGCGGCGCCGTCGTCGTCGATGTCGCTGTCGTCGTCGGCATCGGTGTCGTGGCCAAGTGCCATGCAGTACCTACCGTCGCGGTCTTGTCTGAAGATGTCTTGCGACCAAGTTGCGGGTGGGAGGGTGGGATGTTTGCACGAGCAGTGGAGAGGACAGCTTCAAGACGGTCAAGATCAATTGCACCACGTAGATCGCGCCACATACATTGCTGGAAATACATTGGTTGGGGTACATGCTGGCTAACTTTGCACATTGGATCGTGGCCGTGCAAACCCAGAATGTAGACGGCATTGGGGCGAAAACGCGATTCTCACATACATTGCAGGCGAAATGTTTGCTGGACCGACTGCCGGACTAGGCAGTCTAGGGTTCCTCGTCCCCCTTTGTGAGACTCTTTTGTTGTTTGTTCGAAGTCATCTTGTGGTGCTGGGTCGTTGTTTTAAACCAGCAGTGCCCCGCGTTCCTCCTCAATCCTGGTCCTCCTCCTCCTCCTTCCTCCTCCCTCCTCCTACGGCTGTTCTACGCATGTTGATTTTGACATCCCTCACACGTTTGGTGGCTCCATGGGGAACTCCACCCAGGGCGTTAGTTCACACGTTTTGTGGCCCGTCCGCACGCGTCCCGCCGCGTATTCCGGCACACTCTTCATACGTTTCGTGGCCGCATTGGAAGCTCCACAGAAGGCCCAACTGGCACAGTTCGCATGCGACCCCCTGGCCAATTTCAGCACACCCCTACCCTAACACGTTTCGTGGCCCCATAGGGAGCTCCACCCAAGTCCCCCCGCCCATTTCCCATTTCGGAAGGCCGCAGAGTGGCAAAGTCCGCATGCGTCCCGCCGCCCCGATCAGCACACACCTCTCGCGTTTCGTCCCTAGAGTTCCCCGTCCCTCGTCCCACTTGCCTTGCAGTATTCACACTTGCATATGCTTGTGTCTTTCGCCAGGATATTTTGCCACTATTCGAAACCTTTTAGCGCAACGCTTGTACGGAAATCGACCCCCCTAACACATCGCGCCTCCCCCAAAACCTCAGGAAGTGGCGGGGGAGAGTTCACCTCCCCGATGGGAAGAAGACATCGCCAGACCACCTATGCCCAGAGGGCTGGTGGGATTGCCGAACCCAGCTATGGAGACAATAATGGAGTCCGCCCAGAATCTTCATTCCCAGGAGCCACGTTCAGGGACGATAAGGATCCTTTGTCGGAGGTGTACCTGAGATTGTGCAACCGAGGTCCGTAGTCGTTTTGGCTCCAGCGCACTGCTCGTAGTTTCATGCTGTTGCGGGCGCAGGCTCGCGATGAACTCTTTGCGCTCTCAGGCGCAATCATCGCATACCGCGCGTGTCCCAGAGAACTCAGGCGCCGCGCCATTCGCAGAGTCTACTAGACATGGGCCGCATCGACCAGTTATTCACCCCCGATGGTGGGTCGAAGCGCAGGGCGCAGGAGGAGTCGTGGCCAGACCAGGTACCAGAGGAGGTGTATATCAACGCTTTCCAGCAGGTGACAGCCCTCACCAGCCGAGTCTTCGCGAGCATGTACGGACAGAAGTGGTTTCGCAAGTGCCAGAGCAAGCTGGATTTCAGCGCGGACAGGTTTTGTCTGGAGACGCTGGAGGGCCCAGAGCTCGGTCTGTTCCACCCAGGCCTCTCCCTGTACCGCGCGAAGCAGCTGAATGTGGCGCGGAACAAGCTTGCAGACATTGAGTGCCTCAACCGCAGGAGGGAGGGAGGCAGATTCGAGTTCGAGCAGCTTAGCCAGCTCAGGGCCTCCTGGAACTCGCTCACGTGGGTGAGGCTCGAGCTACCTACGCTCGTCGAGGTGGACCTCAGCTACAACGACCTGGAGCGCCTCCCTGGATTGAAGCCTCTGACGGCCCTGAGATATTTGGCACTCTCTCACAATCGGATCGACGACAACATATTCCAGCTGGCTGAAAACTCGCAGCTACAGACTCTCAACCTGTCGTCCAACAGGTTGTCTTGGAAGCCGTCGTGCTTCCTTGAGCAGATCCGCGCCCTGGACAGCTGCATGGTGGTCGAGCTGCAACTGTGGCCGAACCCCTTCGCAGGCCACTTCCGAGAGTACCAGTTTCTTACGCTGACTCACTTGTCAGGGCTGCGGACCCTGGACGGGGTCCAAATTGATGCTGCCCTGCGCAGCACTGTACGAATGATGCAGGATGACCTGGCCTCTAAGGGCGCCATCGACTACGGCCTCTTCGACGCTAGTGTCGCGGAGCGTCAGCGTTGTGCTGAATACCGTGTGGTGGACGGCCCTCTGGAGCTGGCAGCGGTAGCCGCGGTGCCATGCATGGCCACGCTGCAAAAAGTGCTGGCGGATGTTCTCGACTGTCCTGACCAGGCGAGCCAGCACATGGAGACGTTCGAGGAGCTCGTGTCCCGCGTGCAGGCCGTGCCCTATTCCGACAGACGCCGGCTGATGCGCGTGGAGTGGACCTCGACCTGGCAGGGCCAATGTCAGGGTGATGATGGCCGTGGTCCGATGCGGGACATGTCCGAAGAGGAGGAGGAGTCGGCCGCACACGACTTCGAGGTAGCCGTGCAGCAGGTGCTCGGCAGGCATGGCGGCGTTCAGGGCGTGGTCTTGCGATGCTTGGTGCGTCTGATCAGCTGCGCCAGCCGAGCGCTCTCGAGGCGCTGCGGCCGGTTGTTGTCGGATGTGATCGAGGCCATGAGCGACCCTGAGTTGAGTCCAGAGCTTGAGGAGCTCATGCACGAGCTGTGGCCCTGCCTCTTACCTGGCACACCCGGCATCAACGAGTTCCCCATGGACGCGAACTGCCGGTACCGCGGCATCGAGCTGCCCGACGGGGTAGCAGTCGCGTCGACCTTCGACGGCGCCACCGAGGCCGAGCTGTTGGAGTCGATCTGTATTCTCGGCTCGCTGGGCCAGTTCGTGAACATCCACTACGAAAGCGTTGCGAGGACGCTGCCGTCGACCTCCTTCGCGCGGGCGCTGCGACCGCTGGTGCCGTTGCTCTGCCGGGAGGCTCGTGGAAAGCTCGGGAAGGACATGCCATATTGCGGTTGGGCGGCGTACTGCGACCGCGACGCTTTCGCCGGCGAGAGCGCCGACGTGGTGGAGGTGCCGTCGAGCGGGGCAGAGAGCCTGTGCAAGGAGCAGTGCGTCGCCCGTGGCTTCGGGGGCTTCGTGCTGTCGAGGCTGGTAGACCAGCCGGGGGTCTCGCGGGTGGAGTTCAAGGCACAGCCGGCGGAGCTGCTCGTGGGCCTGCGCCGGGCAGGCTGCGGCCGCACGCTGTGGGTGCGGCCCTTCGAGCCACGGCACTCGTGTGCGGCGCGGAGCACGGAGGCAGCGGTGAAAGCAGACGACCACCTCGTCTGGCTCGCCTGGGTCAACTGCGTGCGGACCCTGGTGGTAGCCGGCAGAGATGGCCACGCGGCCGCGATGTGCATCACGGGGTTCCAGGTCCATCAGACAGTCGCACACCACATCAGGGCCCTGTGCAAGTGGGCCGCGGCCGAGCGGCACCACTTTGGGCAGCGCGTGCGGGAGTGCGATGTGCAGACGGCCCGGATCGCGGAGAAGGGGGGCGCGATCGGGCCCTTCTACGCGGACTGCAGGGCCGGGCCATTCCACGTCATGCTGCAGCTCCTGACCTTCGCGCGGGAGCTCGTGATGGCGCCCGGCGAGGCAGGCTTAGAGGCCGCCAAGTACTTTGTAGAGAACGAGATTCACAGGTGCCTCTTCAAGAAGTTGCGCCAGTGCCTCATCGAGAACGGCCACGCGATTGCCTCGAGGGAGGTTCAGGCCTCGGGGGTGGACGTCCTGCTGGAGGCTCTCGTCTCGGAGCTCGTGTCGGCGCTGACCACGCTCGTGCGCTACAGCACGGACGAGGTGGCGGACGTCGTGATGCAGGAGCTGGGGAACGAGGCCATGGATGTTTTTGGCGCGCTGCTGCACATTGCAGCAGAGCCTGTGGCGGCGGATCCGATGCTCCTGGCAACGGCGCTCGATCTCATCCACGTCGCGCTCGAGAGTGACGTGACGCGGGCGCAGGCGATCCCATTGGTGCTGGAGGCGCTGGATGATGGATTGAAGCTCCTGCCGTATATTCGCGAGCCTAGGTTGCCAGATGGCAGGGACAATCGCAAATTTCAAGATCTTTGGTACCAGTGCATTTGCAAGTACAATCGGGACACCCACCAGTGCGCGTGGCTGATCGAGCAGAAGGGCGATGATTGGAGGTCGCACGTTCCTGGGCTGACGGACCTGCAGCAGCCGCTCATTCACGCTGTGCTTATCGGCGTGGTGAAGATTTTTACCATATTCAGCTGCTGCGCCAGTATGGACCTGACAGGGAGACTGCGACAGGCCACCTGGAAGCTCCACCGCTCCGGCCGAAATCAGCTGCTGGCCAACTCGAACACTGGCCTGGTGACTTGCCCAAGCCATGACGTGAAGATCTGCTGCATCAGGTGCATCAGGGAGGTGCTGCACTCTGACCCAGAGCAGTTCAGCCTGATGGACGTGGGCTCCCTGGTGTCGCACCTGACGTCGGCCTCCATCGGAGTTTCGAAGCAGGAGGAGTTCCTCATGGAGGTCCTCGACCTCTGTATCTTGCTGGTGAGGGACAGCGGCGTCACAGGCCACTCCTTCAGGGAGACGTACGCGACCATGATCATCCGTGAGGCCTACAGCATGCTGCGCACAAGCGTAGGCCGAGCTCACGCAGAGGCGCTGGAGCCGGACCAGATGGCAATGAGGCGTGCCTTGATCTTCCAGATCTTGGAGTTGCTGTACGAGTGCTCGCAGCGGCATTCAGGGGGCATGCGGCGGTTCTTGCTGCGGCAGGACCTGGTCCAGAGCCTCAAGTACGTCCTCCAGCTGTCGGACCGCCTGGCCCAGCGCACCAGCTTCTGCGACGGCCACGCCATGGGCGAGCTGGAATGGGGCCTTCTTCGCAGCTGGACCGCCAGGTGAGCGACGCAAAGATATGGGGTTGTCTTCATAGACATCGGCGCGTCAGCTGCCCGCGAAAGGTCGCGCGCGAGCGCCCTGATCGTGCCGCGGTGGCGGCCCGCGTAAGCCGCCGAGTAAGGTGCCTACGTCATCTCGTCCTATTTTTCCTGGCTCAGGTGCACCACCGAGATCCTGCTCCCGCTGATCTGCCACTCCGTCGTATCGATCGCCAACCCCTGCAGGTATCGGAGGGACGCCAACAATGCATCACCACTAGCCCTGGCCTGGCCAGCGCTGGTGGTGGTGTATTGTTTGATGCCTACCTTATCGGATGAGGGCGGCGGTGGTGTCCATAGCCAAGCCTGAGTTTGTGTTCCACCGGCTTTCAGATCCTGGGTTTCTTGCCCAAGGGTCCCCTATTCTTGACCTAACCTAATCGGAGGCTGCCAGAAGGGTTCGTTGGAAAAGGTTGGTTCCGCTGGACCTGAGGGCCCCCCAGGTGGTGGTGGTGGTGGTGGTGGTGGTGGTGGTGGTGGTGTGTTGTTTCGCGCTCTCCTGAGGTACTACGCGCTCACTCGCCTCGCCGACCTGCTGCAGGGCCGGCGCTACCGGCCCGAGCTGGCCGCTCAGACCGGCAGGGTGCCAGCGCTGCCGACCGAGGCCGCCCCGTGGCCGGGGCCGCGCAGCCTGCTGCAGGAGATATACGATCACGACCTGGAGGATTGGCTCCCACGTCCGAAGAGGAGGAGGAGGAGGAGGAGGAGGAGGAGGAGGAGGAGGAGGAGGAGGAGGAGGAGGAGGAGGAGGAGGAGGAGGAGGAGGAGGAGGAGGAGGAGGAGGAGGAGGAGGAGGAGGAGGAGGAGGAGGAGGAGGAGGAGGAGGAGGAGGAGGAGGAGGAGGAGGAGGAGGAAAGGGAAGAGGAGGAGGAGGAGGAGGAGGGAGGAGGAGGAGGAGGAGGGGGAGGAGGAGGGGGAGGAGGAGGAGGAGGAAGGGGTGGAGGAGGAGGATGAGGAGGAGGAGAAGGAGGAGCAGGAGGAGGAGGAGGGACCGTAGCCATTTTGGCTCAAGGCCATATCGGGAACTCGACCCCCCGACTCAAGTGGCCTGGCCCGCCGCGCGCGAGTGAGACCCTGGAAAGTTGCCCCAGGACAAGGGCGAGTGAGACCCCTGAGTGAGACCCGCGAGTGAGACCCCTGAGTGGACTCCGCATTCTTTTCTCCCTTGCGGCGTGCCCGCAGCACACCCAGTTCTGCCTACGGTACCTCCTGTCTCCCTTTCATCACATCTGTTCCGAGCAGGCTATGGAGAGCGATGGACAACGCGAAGCGGCGGCCGCCGCGACTCTCGAAGCGCTCGAGGCCATGCCAACCTTCCCGTCGCAGGAGGTCGCAACCCCCCTACGTGCTGGCCCTCCTCCTCAATCTGATGATGAACTTCCTGACGGCCAGCCTCCAAATAAGCGTGCCGTCATCTCTTCGACACACGGGGTCCATGACAACAAAGGACTGGGAAAAGGTCACGCTTCGGCATCTGGAGCTTCCTCCCCAACATCTGGGTCGAGCTCTGGTTACGGCAATGGAGTGCCCCCGCTCCGTGGAGGCGGCCCTCATTCTGCAGAGGAAATGGTTGCGTGTCGTGCCCACGTGGATGCAGTTCAAGCAGTGCTGCAGCAGTCTATTGCAGCGGTGCAGAACAGTGTGCAGACCTCCCTCTCTCATCGATTTCGAACAATATTACAACATCGTTTCGAGACATCAGCCATGCGATGGAGTCGAGGATCAACCGTGTCGAGAATCGTGCTGGCGACCAAGACAAACGTTTGGACCGCATCGAGAACCAAATCGCTCAGCTTCAACAGGAACTACAAGTGGTCCAGAGTGAAGAGCCTCAACCGCCTCTCCGCCCAACTTCGGGCTCCAGCTTCAACAGGGAGATCGACCGCTCCGTGGTGGTCATCCGCTCCCCGAAGCTTGTCAAACAGTCGAACATGCAGAACGCCCTGGCGGACTGGCTGCGAGACTGCAATATCAACGAGCAAGAGTACACCTTCGATGAGCCAGAGCCTTCAGGAATCAGGTTCACGATGCGCTTCGCTGGTTCCAAGAACTACGCAGAGCGGAAGGTCAACCAAGTCCTGGGCGCCGTCAAGACGCCCTCCCCTGGCAATGCTCCTCCAATTTGGAGGTCCTTCCGTGCTGAGTCGATCGCCGATGGCACAGTCAACCTGTTCGTCGGACCCGACAAGAACACGGAGATGGTGCGCCGCGAGCTGGGCTGCAAGAAGATCAAAGGCGTGCTGGCCCGTGAGTTCCCGCAGAAGCGCCTCTTCATGGACAGGCACAAGGGCGAGATCCTGCTGGGTTGGAAGCCGATTTGCAAAGTCGTCCCTGTGGAGGGTCAAGATTCGCCGAATTTTGTTGTGGGCTAAGGAGAACATGCGGGCTGAGGGTATGGATGTGCAGCGCATCCAGCAGCTCGCCGCCGACTCCTTCGGCCCCGTCACCGGGGCAGTGTGGAGTTCCTAGCGCGCACAGTACCCTGTGGCATGGTCATGCAACGCAAGACGGTTCGCTTCACTTCGATCTGCGAGTGGTCACATGGAACGCGAGGGCGCTATTTCACCATGATGACTCACTGAGGGTGCAAAAAGTGAGGCTGCTGCGCCGTCTCGTGCTGTCTGGCACGATTGTCGCTTTGCAAGAGACGCACGGGGCCCCGTGCGATGTCAGTGGCCTTCTCCACTCCCTCCACCTCCCCCTCCAGGCGCACTGGTCCTTCCATGATGATTTTCGTACTGGGGGCGTGATCACCATTTTCCCTCGGTTCTTTCCTACCGAATCCCGCAGGGTATCGTCGGGCGGCGTCCTCCCTCTTGTCTCGTCCTCTCCTCTGATCCCTGGCCGCGTACTTCAGACCAAGAGAGGGGCAGTGAATGGGCGGTGCTGGATCCAGCACTTTAACATCCACAACCACGGCCTGTCCGTGGCCGACAAGGCAGTTTTGTTCGGCGCGATGTCCGTCGCGCTTCAGCAGGCGCAGGAGGATCCCCTCAATAGATTGGTTCTCATCGCTGGGGATTTGAACCTCTCATCCCGCGAACCCCTCCCCCTCAACCCTCCGAATGGTGACTTCAGTGTGTTTACTGACCCTCGCCCCCGCCCCCTCCCCAGGGACTGGTGTCAGGCTTTAGCCCCCACGGTGGAGTTTGAACTTCTCTCTCCCGCCCACTTCAACAGTCAAAGTTCGTCGCTGAGTTTCCTAGACAGGATCTTCTCCTCGTTGCCAGGCTGGATTCTCTCGCAATGCGCGTCGGGAGGGGAGGTCGCCGAACGTCCTGAGGTGCTGGGCGCGAAGGGTCTTTCCGACCGCGCGCCTGTCGTTGCTCACATCCGCGTGCGGCCGCCCAGGCCTGAATGGGGGCAGGCCGATCCCCAAGGAGCTTTTTGCGTCGGCTCCGTGCAAGTTCTTTCTAGATCGAGCTACTCAGGCGGCCTCTTTTGACCCCCCCCCCCCTCGCTCACGAGTACGACAAACTTCTGATGACGGAGGCGGCGCGTTTTGCCAGAAACCAGCTCATCCAGGAACGTCCCCATACTCACATTTCCCGATTTCTGGTCACCCGAGGAATGGCTCGAGCTTTGCTCCGCCAGAACTGAGTCTTGGCTCAGCGTCTTTTTCAATCTCATCCTCTTTGCCGAGAGCACCTCCTCCTGGACCCGAGCACGTTCGCTATCTCCCTCCGCGACCCTATCCTCTTGACGACCCTCTCCAACGAGCTCCACCTCAAGACTGCTCAGACTACGGAGCGTGCTCTCCAGGCTAGTGCTCAGCGGCTATCGCGCCCGTCTGCGATCGCCCGTGTCTCTGCCCGCGCTCGCAGGGTCAATCGACTCGCGAAACTGTGGTCCCCGTTCGATCGGAGACTGATGCGGTCGGGCGTTCGCGCGGGCGGAGGCGAAGTTGTGCAGACGCCCTTCGCGATCCTCTCGCATCTGGCTCAGCACTGGGCCCCGATCTTCACTGCTAAGGGGTGCCGCGACGAGGAGGCAGAAGCTTTCCTGGATAGATCCCCCCCACATGAATTGCGAGGACATTCCCCCCCACTTATCAGCACATCCAGAGATTCCTTAAAGCCCAGACCCACAGTGCCCCAGGTCCTGACAGACTCCCATACTGTGCTTGGCACTTCGCTCCTCGTGGCGCCGACGTGCTCCACAATTCGATGCGCTGGATTCACTCTGGGCAAAGCCTGCTTTTTGGTTACAACGAGGTCAGGGGAGTCTTCATCCCCAAGGGGGCCGACCCGCCAGGGGAAGCTGCCGGCGCCCGCCGTCCTGCGGAAACGAGACCGCTGGGGCTGAAAAACTGCGACAACAAAGTGATCGCGGGAGTCTCTGTGAAGCCTCTGACCCTCTCTCTTCCCCTGGGCCTCGATGAAGCCCAACGCGGTTTCGTTCCCCGCCGAAATTTTGGTCAGAACATTCTGGAGCTCGACGCCATCGGGCGACAAGCTAGTATGTGCGGTGCCCCCGTCCTCCACCTCCCCTCCCTCCTCTGTTTTGACTTCGGGCAGGCCTTGCCCTCCATGGCCCAACGTTGGCTGTTCGCGGTCCTGAAACGTATTTCCCTTCCTCCCGCTCTCCTCCACCTCCTCTTGGATCTGTGCTCTGGCGTCGTCTGCGCTGGCCTCGTTGGTGGTCTCGAACAGGTCCTCTTCTGGGTCACCAGTGGGGTTCTCCAGGGATGCCCTGCGAGCGGCGCGCTTTTCGCTATCGGGGCTGACCCTTTCCTTCGGATGTTTAGGGCTCTGCTGGAGTCTCGGGGTAAAGGTATTGCGAGAGCCTGTGCAGCTGACATAGGCGCAATTTTATTCCAGCTGAAGGATGTGGTGGTCCTGGCCTCTGTCTTCCGCGTGGCGGAGTCACTCGCGCACCTCTCTTTGAAGGTGCAGAAGTGCAAGCTCGTGCCGCTCGCTGACAAATATTCGGATAGATTAGCACGTCGTTATCATCGATTCCTTTTCGACTCTGGTCCCAAGCTGGTCGGATTTCGAGATTTGCCCGATGGCGCTCTACCTCGGCCTCTGGCTAGGCCCCGCGGTTACCCCATGGACCTCGTGGAGAGCCCCGTGGACCAAGTATCTTCAGCGTGCCCGTGCTCTATCGGGGGGGGGAGCCCCATCGGAGCTTGCGGCATCAATGTACGCGCGGCGAGTGCTCACTGTCCTCTCATATGTTGGCCAGTACCAGCTCCTCTTGCCTGAGATGAGGAGAAAGGGGGCGGCCGTCCTGGCCAGTGCTTTCAAGCTCCCCTGCTACCGAGTGGACGAGCAGGGCTGGCCGAATCTCGAGTAGTGGGGCGGCCCACACATCAGGAGCGTATGGTGCACGAATGTCGCGCAGCTGGTGCGTGCGAGTCTTTTCACCCTCCCTGGGTGGCGCCCTCTGGTCGACAGCCTGAGGTCATGCGCAGAGGACTCTCTCCCGCTCGTCACTATTCTCAGTGGTCACTGTTGGCCCGGCTTCTGGCGCCCGCAGCTGTGGCCCGAGTTCTGGGAGTCCCCCGCGATGGTCAGCGCCCTCGAAGCAGCCTCACAAGGGTTCCCCACGTCAGATCCTCTTCGAGATATATGCGTTCCTGCCATTCTACAGCTTCAACATATTCAACATCAACATACTCAACGTAATCTGCCTCTCCACAGCCTCCATCCTCAGCGTCATCTTTCTCAGCTTCTTCATTCCCATCTCTTTCCTGACAGGCTCCAAGAACTCTTTCTCCGACGTCTCAGGTCCTGGTTCCCGCGCAGTGCCCAATCCATCGCTCTGATCCCGTGGCCTGAAGTACGCTCCTCCCTTCTCTCGCTCCCCCCTTCCTGGAGAGCCGCAATTGTACGAACCCTAGTGGGTGGTTGGATCACGTCCTCGAGTTTTCAGGAGCATGAGCCTTGCCCGTGCTGCCAGCAGCCCCCGCACTTGTTCCGCCATCTCTGGTCCTGTCCTGTCTTTCTCACCCTCTTGGCTCGCACCTCGCGTGTCCTCCAGCTCCCTCATTGTCCCAGAGTCCGCCTCGGTCTCAGTCAGCCATCTCGCTGCGCATTCAGAGTTGTCGTGTAAGCTGTTCACCTTCGCAACGAGATTAGGACCTCACCGCCCCCGCTCAGTGCGAGGACGAGCGGAGCCATCATAAGGCGGGTCCGCCACCAGGTTGCCCGTCCAGCGACCTGATGGACCAGGCCCGCGGCTACGCTCGAGGAGGAGGAGGAGGGGGAGGAATGAAACCCTCACACGCTGCCGCCGCTGCCATCCATGTCCTTCTTCTTCTCATGATACTGTTTCGCTCCTCTTCCTCTCCTCGTCTGTCAGTCAGTCATTTTTATTATGTTATTCTCTCCGCCCCAGCTGGCGACTCCTGGAGCGGCGCTCCAAGAGTCGCCTGGCTTGAGTTTGATCGCACCCCAACCGGCCCTGGGGGAGGGGGAGGTTTCTTCAACGCGACCATGCAGCCACCAGGAACCAGGAACCAGGAGGAAGGAAAGGGAGGAGGAGGAGGAGAAGGAGGAGGAGGAAGAGGAGAAGGAGGAATAGGAGGAGGAGGAGGAGGACGAGGAGGAGGGAGGAGGATTGGTGTAAACCCAAGACTCGTCAACGATGTTGGAATCAACCCTGCCTCCAAGCTCCCTCTTCGTAGGCTCCTACGAGGGTTCATGTCCACTGAGGGAAGTGTCCCGATTGGAGACGATCGCTGGAATATCCTGAAGCGTGCCAACATACCATTCTCGGAACTTCAGCGACTCGAACCAACCTGGCTGTTGCGTCTTGAAAATCCTGATTCGTGCCAAAACACCACTCCTTTGACTTCAACACCGCGAATCAACGCAACTGTTGCGCCCTGACAGCCCTGAATATCTCCCAAACACAATGTCTGGTACGCTAACCATGAGAATCCGTGAAGTGTTACAAGCTTTACAGCAAGTGTGCGCGACGCTAAGGTGAGAGCCAGATTTTGAAAACGACCCGCCCTCAATTTGTGAAGCTCTTGCATTTTTGCAGCGAATGTGCGCCGCGCGAAGGCGAGAGCCACATTTTGAAAGCCGCTGGCCATCCGTCCGTGGAAGTGTTGAAAATTTCAAGGTTTCGGGTAAAAAGTGTAGAGGGAGTCTGAGGCGAAGCGCCAGGCCTGCCCTTGCGACCAGCCTCGGGGTGCGACCGGGAGGAGTTCTGTATGGGGAAAAGGGATGGAGGAGGAGGACGAGGGACGGAGGAGGAGGAGGAGGAGGAGGAGGGGGAGGAGGAGGAGGAGGAGGAGGAGGAGGAGGAGGAGGAGGAGGATGTAATTGGGAGGAGGGCCTGTTCCTCCCGGCCCGAGAGGAGCACGAGAGTTGGGAGCAGCAGCAGGGCGAGCTTGCCTCGGGCGACGGGCTGCGCGCCATCGTATCGTTCGTGCTGCGGCTGGCCCTGACGCGCGATGACACCAAGGCCGCGGCGCAGCGGGGGCAGGTCATAGCCAGGGAGCTTCTGGACTGCAATGAGGCTCCCAGACATCGGGCGTCTCGAAAAAAACGAGGTGGAGGTTTTTCATAGTTTTCGGCCTCTCGGGGCCCTTACTGGGCCTCGGGACCGTAACAAAAACAATTTGGGATGGAACAGTGGTCCTGGGGAAGTGGTTGAGAGGTCGGGTGCCCGTGTCTCGACGAAATCGGTTCAGAGGAGGAAACAGGTACCAATACTGCTACCCTGGCCTCGTTTTCGTTTTTTTGGCTCCTGGGAGGCCCTCGTCGCCACCGCTGGATTCGCCTCGAAATTCAGGTCAGAACGCACCCTGGGAGAGGTCCGGAGAGTAGGGGTATCGGTACATTCTTGTTTCCCCAGAGGCTGCCGTCCGAGCGGTGTGGGACAGCGCCAAGCCCTTGCCCCCCCAGCTGGAGCCACAGGCCAGGGAGAAGGCGTCTCCGCAGGAACGCATTCAGAGTTACATACGTGACGTCTCCATCCAGATCCAGATGCAGCTGATGCTCAGGCTGAGGTGCGTCAACGAGAAGGTCATGTCATTCTTCGGTGTCAGCTGCGAGAACTTCGACCCGACTACTGGTAGGAGCTCCTTGTGGAAGATGGCCGAGGTTCTGGGCGACAGCTTCCAGCTCAACAGCCGTTTCTGGCAGGAGCAATTCCGCAGTCACCCTTCGGCTTTTGAAGCCTTGCTCGCCATCGAGAACTACTATTCCCTGCCCGGGCGGGCGCAGCTGTTTTCTAGCACCGAGCTCCGCCTGAGGAATTTGCCGATACCCAAGACCGCGCAGGCCAGCGACGACTTGAAGGTCCTCATGCCAGACGCCCAGGTGGCGCATATTTTGCTGAAGAAGTCGCTCGTCAGGAGAGCACCCAAGAACATTACTAGAGCCGACGCGTGGGCCAGCAGCGAGTTCGCCTGCCAGCAGGGCCAGTTGCATAAGCAGCAGGTTGGGGCCGAGACCAAGCAGTTGCTGTCAGAAGGCCTTTGCGACTTCATCGAGCCACACGGCGGTATCGTCATGGACCCTGGGATCGTACCTGAGCTCGAGGTGGCAACCAAGGCAAAGTACAAGTACAGCGGAGACGTGAGCCGCGTGAAGGACATCTCCAGCCTTATCATCATCTACCCCTCCATCAAAGAACTGGCCGCCGCACTGCCCAACTTCATCGCCACCCGGCGGCTGCTGATCCGGAGGGTGCGCAATCGCTTCGTGTTGCCAACGAACTTGGGGCGCCGCTTCTTTATTGCGCACGTGGAAGTACAGCTGCCCAGCTCGGAAGACAATGCGAAGCCCAGGACTCACGTCTGCGAACTGCGCCTGACCGTGGGCAATTCCTCTCACTATCTCCAGCCATCCAGCCATGCCCTGCTATCTTTTGCCATGCCTGCCATCCCTTACGTCCTGCGACGCCATATCCAGCTGTCTGCGGCAAGTTCCGCCACCGTGCCAGCGGAGCACTCTGTGTGGCGATGCTTCCTCGGCCCCAGCTATTCGTTTTATCAGGGCTCGCGGTTTGCTCGCTCTGGTCTTCTTGGACAAGATCCTCGGCAAGGTCTGGATTTTGGTGCGCCGGCACGCTTGTCTGCCAACGCCTGGACACCCAGTCGGCTTCGGCAGCTGGTGGCCCCAGCTTAGCTGGCCCACCACTTCGAATCTGGTATGTGCCGTGTGGAGCCCCGCCCGCTGGCTTTCGCCGCTGGCGTGCGGCGTCTGCTTCTGCAGTCGCCTGGTCGTCCTATTCGATTCGTTTTCAAGTCATGGGAGCCTTGTATACCCTCGTAATTCGTCTTTAGAGTGCACTAGCGCCCATTAGCGTCTGGTAGTCGATGGCTTAGCGCCAATTTAGCGTCGATGAGCGTCGATTAGCGTCGATGAGCGTCGATTCAGCGTCGACTGGCGTCGATCAGCGTCGACTCGAACGAGCCAACAGGATGGTATGGGAGGCTCCCATGAGTTGCCACCGAACTTCGACGGCCGCGCTTCCATACCGCTACTCCCCGCGTACTCGTGGGACCACCCGAAGGCGCCCCTCCGCCGCCTGCCGTTCGCGGCCGCCGCTTGGCGTCCAGAATAGCCGATGCCGCTGCTCGTGCTGGAGAGCCCTCGTCGCCACCGCTGGATTCGCCTCGAAATTCAGGTCAGAACGCACCCTGGGAGAGGTCCGGGGAGGAGCGGTATCGGTACCTTCTTGTTTCCCCAGAGGCTGCTGTCCGAGCGGTGTGGGACAGCGCCAAGCCCTTGTCCCCCCAGCTGGAGCCACAGGCCAGGGAGAAGGCGTCTCCGCAGGAGTGAGTGACATCCGTGACGTCCGTGAGGTCCGTTGAGGAGCGCCATATCCTGGTCCTCCAGCGCTTCTCAGGGCGCACCAGCTCGGGGTGCCCGAGAGGCCGCCCGCGCGTCCCCGCCCCGTCGGCGCTCGGCGCTCGGGCTCTCTCCCTCTCTGCCTCTGCGGCCGCCGCACCCGCCGCCACCCGCCTGGGGGGCTCGCGGGCAGTTCCTCGACGAGGAGTTCTTGTTTTTTTCCGTCGCAATCGCCTGAAGATTCGCTCGTGCCCCGCGCCTTGCGCGTCCCGCCAGTACGGTAGGTTCATGCGGCGTTGGCGCGCCGGCGACGTCGGCGAAGGTGTTCAATCGGGGGCGGCCAAGACGGGTGTGATGACTAGGGGGAGGGGTGGATAATGGCGGGGGCCATGCATGATACCTCCCCAGATTGCATGGCGCTTCTTTTCGCTCAATGCGTCCCTAGCACCCCCCCCCTGGGCCGCGCACATGGCGCCTGCCATGATTTGCGCCCCCCCCCTCCTGGATGCCTCCCTCTTGGACGGCCCCGACTCAAGGTTGAGTGCTGCGACGCGGAAGCATCGAGGGACACGTTAACGCCACCGGACCCGACGGGATTCAATCTTAAAGGATCGGGGCCGCGATCGATTCACGGTTGAACGATCGAGGCGGCGTCAAAGTTTGTGCGCGTGCCGACGCCACACGAACCTACCGTACCGAGCCTGCGTCCGCCAGCGCCGCCGACCGAAAAGTGTGGCGAGGCTTCGAGACCACCGCTGGGATGGCCGTCACATGTGGCACCTTTCGTCTGTTTTCCGTGAGGAGCTCTCGTGGGGCCTAGCTGGGCCGTCCTGATGCTGTTTGTTGCTCCTGCGAGGCCATCTCGGGGTCCTCTTGGGCGGTCTTGATGCTGTCTTGAGCCGTCTTCGCACCGTCTTGGGCCGTCTTGGGCCCCTTTCGGCCGTCTGGGGAGTGTTCTTGGGGCTATCTTAAAGGGCTCATGGGGCCCTCTACGGCCATCTTTGGACCGTCTTGGACTGTCCCAGGCCCCTCTTGGGCTGTTTTGGGGTTCTCTGGGGCTTGTCCTCAGCCGTCAGAGAGGTTCCTCGGCTTCTCTTTGGCTCGAACCTTGTTTAGCAGAGGCCCAGGAAACGCAACATTCCCTAAACAGTGCTTGCACTTAGGTGTTCTTACTTTTGTCGCTACGGAATTAGATGGGTCCAGCGAGGATTTTCTAGGTTGCCGCCCGTGGCCGTCTCGTGGCCGCTTCGTGAGTTGGGCAGGTCCAGCGAGGTCTTGCCACGTTGCCACCAGTGGCCGCCTCGTGGCCGCCCCGTGCATTGGGTGGTTCCAGCGTGTATGTCGAGGCATTACTTGTCGCATTATTCGCCTGATGAGGGAATCCATGTGTCATACCTCTAACATCTCTACTTTAAATTCCGTGCGTCATTTGATTTGACATGCCTGGGCATGTTTGTTTTGAATTCCGGGGGTGTTTCGTCGCGTTGTGTTCCGGTGGCCGCGTCGTGGTCGCTTCGTGCGTTGCGCGGATCCGACGACGTTTCGCCACGTTGCTGCCTGTGGCCGCCTCGTGCGCGAATGGGTTTGGCGACGTTTCGCTACGTTGCCGCCCGTGGCCGCCTCGTGGCTGGTTCCTGCGTTTTGTGTCCGGCTAGGTTTCGCAACGCTGTCGCTCGAAGCCGCCTCGTGGCCGCTTTGCGCGCTGGGTGTGTGTTTGGCGAGATGTCGTCACGCTGCCGACCGTGGCCGCCTCGGGGCCGCAGGGTGGGTCCGGCGAAGTTTCGCCACGTTGCCGCTCGTTGCCACTTCGTGGCCGCCCCACTGCCGCTTGGGGGATCTGGCGAAGATTTGCCACGTTGCCGCCCACTGCAGCCCGTTGCTGCCCGTAACCGCATCGTTGGCGCTTGGGGTCCAGCGAGGTTTCGCCTCGTCGCCGCCCGTTGCCGCCCGTTGCCGCCTCGCTGCCGCGTCATAGCTTATGCCATATAGCTTCCACCATGTAGATAACACGGCATAGCTTGCACCACATAGCTTGCACCACATACTTCGCACATCCACAATGCAATCACTTATTGTTTGGGGTCCACGCTGGCTCACATATTTCAACACCTGTGGCATGCCTTTCTGGGTTTGGATGACGTTTGGCTTTCTTGCGGCACTTTTGGTTTTCTTTTTGGTGTGTATGAGGCCGTGCCCGCTTTGGCGCCTGTTGGGGTTTTCTTTGGGGCTGTTAGGCGCCTGTTGTGGCAATGCTGGGCCATCTTAGCGGCCCTGGTGGTCTTCCTGGGCTGTTTTGGAAGCCTTGGCGAGCCTTGGAGAGCCCCACAAAGGCGTTGGATTGCCCATGCAGAAACCCTACCAGACAGCACTTCGAATGTTGCCGCGCATCGACGTGCCAGGGGGCAAGGTGGCGGATTGAGAAACTACTGCGGGAGACGTGCCGGGTCGAGTGCTGCGAGTTGTGGAACCTCGCAGGGTTCATCACGTACCACCTCGAGTGCCGTGCGATTCGCCATGGGGACACAGTCGTCCTCACTTTCCGGAAGAGACATTTCCAGGTCGACAAAGATCGCGTTTTCATTGCGGTGAGCGTCGACGGCGCCTTCGCCGCGGGGAACGTCAACAATTCTCGCAGTCTTTTCCGTATCGAGCGGCAGGCCGGGGAGGGCACGGTGAAGTACGGGGATGTCGTGTATCTTCATTCGAAATTCACCGACAAGTACATCGACGTGAGCACGTACGGACAAGTCAGGTGCAGATCGGCATGTCCCATGGCTGGCCTCGGCACAGTAGGCTTTGTGCTTTCCTCTGGACATCGCGAGTCAGGCGGCAACATCGCGACCGCAATGGACAGGGTGGACTTGTCAACCTGCTTGGGTTTCAAGGCTGGCAGTGGCAATGGCGACCTGTCCTTGCCAGTCTGCTCTGGTACCACTCTGCGCACTTCGAACGAAGTCCGCTTGCTGGTTCCAGGACACAAGCAGCGATTCATCACCGTCATGCCAGCTGCGTCCCTGACCGACTACTACCTGGACCAGGGCCGGATCAGGAAGGTTCGGGCTCCGTTGGAGGAAGAGCGAGTGCCTGCCAGGGAGGTTTTCAAGATCGGGCGCATCGGTACGATGACGCACTTCCTGAACCTCGGACTTCCATGGGACGAATCCGCGGGCGACTACGCCAATATACATGCGGAGCTAGGCGTCTGCAATCTGCAGAGGCGGAGGATGCTGGAGGCGTTCATGACGCAGATCCCCCCAACGGAATGGAGGTTTCGCCGGGTGGCCGAGCTGGAGCATATGGTGCTGCCAGAGTGCCCAGAGATCGCGGCCGCTGGCAACACCGAGGACGGCGAGAATAATGGAGCGCAGAAAATAGCGCCGACGCATTGGAATTGGAGGCATGTGAAAGCCCACAGCATTGTAGCGTGCGTGGTGCGGTGCTTCTACGCGATGGTGGCGGTCCCCCACGATTGCACAATCCTCGAGTGGACATTAGGCCAACTGCTCGGGGACGAGCCTGGCCCAAGACTCGGCCAGGTGCTTAGAGACTTGCTCTCACTGGCCATGGGCGCGGGTGAAATGTTTGAAATCGCGCAACGGCAGCTCGAGGGCGCTACAAGCAACAGCACCTCTGGCCTGCCGGTCAAGATACTGAGACTCTTCTCAGAGTTGCTGAAGATTTTTGTGCTGCCTGGCGATCCCAAGCGCAGCATGCCCCTCAGCACGTCCACGAAGAGTCCCAGGGACCCGTGCCTGACTGGGAAGCTGCTCGACCAGCAGACGATGGCGTACTTATTTGCCGTCAGTGGGTACCTCGTCGAGACCTTTCAGCAGCCGCTCCTTGACAGGCTCACCACAGCTGCCCACAAGCCGTTGACGCGGTACGAGCTTGACCTTCTCCACCAGATCGCAGTGACGGTCGCGAAGATGGCGCAGGTGTTCGGGAGCAACGAAATGCGGCAGCACCATAAAACCCCACATCGCCAGCAGCGCGACGTGGAAGGCACACGTGCTCGCGCCTCCGAGCATGTCTTGCAGGAGATTGCGAAGGACATGGTCGACGGGGAGTTCATCGAGATCTTGGAGTTCGAAGACAGGGACGGCGACGTCAACGAGGTCTATATCCACGAAGGGAAGCTCACCATCGCGAACCGGACCTGGCAGGCTGTTGGCTTGCAGGGCGAGTTCATTGTTACCAGCGTTCGCGTCAAGCCGCTCAACGAGAGTTCTTGCCTGGTCTATGACCAATTCGACAACTTCATGACAATGCCGTCTAAATATCTGCGCACTCTGAAATATTTCTGCGAGAGGACAGACGTACCTCACAACATTGAAGTCGATTCCTACGCGGTTCTCGCTGCACGTGTAGCAGAAGAGGATGAACGTGATGATGATGGGCCTGCGGGAGTAACCCAGGCGTCAGCAAGTCTGCAGGAGTCTCGTTGACGCAAATGGGTGTCCAGCTAAAGGGGGTGGTGAAATAGATCTGGTTCCCTCGATTTGTGGGGTTGCAGCAGGTCTGGAGCGTGCAATACATTCTGGGTCTGGGGCACAAATGTGTTGCTGCATTTCTGCGTGCAATGCATGAGTTGCAACGCAGTGCAGTACGATCCTCTGGCGCAATCCACTCGCAGTGCAGTTGCCCCACATCTATTGCACCACCCCCTTCTAGCTGGACCCCCGTTTCACCACCCACCAAAACATCCCAACCCCGACCCGAGGGTCCCAATTTGCCCTCCCAGGGGGAGGGGGGGGCGTCGAGGAACATTGAAAAGCACATGTGGAACCCGTACCCCTCCCAACACGAAATTTAGGTCTTCGGGTTGGGAAGGGGGGGTTTGGTAGGTAGTCATCTTTTGCGTCAACCAGAAGATGAGGATAAGTCGTGCAGTGGTTCATTGCCAGCACCCGTCCGCGCGCAGCTGTTCGAGCTGACCTTTCCGTCGGTACTGGTGAGCGGGCTCCTCATGGCACTCGAAGCGGCTGGGCGCCTGGAGGCGACCATCCATGCGGAGGGCTGGTCCGCGGTGCACCACTCCAGCAGATGCCAGCCCTCCACTGGCACGGCAGACTTTGAGGAGGAGCAGGACTCGCGGAGGAGGAGGAGGAGGAGGAGGAGGGGGAGGAGGAGAAGGAGGAGGAGGAGGAGGAGGAGGAGGAGGAGGATGCGGGGGAAACGGGTCCCGAGGGAAACGTGTCCGCGCGGAGGGCTGGTCCGCGGTGCACCACTCCAGCGGATGCCGGCCCTCCGCCAGAACGACAGGCTTCGAGAGGAGGTCGGCCACGAGCAGAGTGGGGGGAGGGGGAGGGGGAACTGCTTCTAAGAAGCAAAGCACCCCTGCTTCTTGAGATGGCGCGGGCCTCTTTTGTAGATGTAAGGCCCGCGCCCTCTGAGAAGCAGGCCTCCTTCTGAGACGCCTCTCCCCCTCCCCGCTCCCCCTATACCCCCCTCTGCGCGCCGCCATTGAAGTGCAGGACCCGCCATGGGGGAACCGGGTCCGGAGGGAGACGGGTCCTGTTCTTTCTCTTAGTTTTTCTGGCTTCCCGGGGCCCTCCATGGGCTCCAGAATTGTCAGAGAACGTCTGAGGATGAAGACCTGGTCCTCGGGGGAGGCCCCAGGGTCCAGGGCCCGTTTCCCGCAGGACCCGTTTCCCCCGTGCTAAAGGACGAGGGCCAGCGCCAGCAAGTGCAGAAGGCAGAGGCACACTACAAGGAGATGAGGCTGCACTCTGCCGTGGTCGACCGCACCATCCATGCACTCGTGGGCATCATTCGCCTCAACGAGGAGGTCGGCGAGCACTCGAGGGCCAACTACGGCTTCGACGTCTGCGAGGCGCTCTCCACGAGCCTGTCGGAGGGCGCAGGGCGTGGGGTCCCGCTGCTGCGAGTGCAGCAGCTCACGGCCGAGCGGGGCACCGCGCGGCTGCACTGCCAGCTGCAGAAGTTCCTGGACCACGGCGGGCTGGACGGGGCCGGCGGGGTCTCGTGCTTCCGGAGGGCGGAGTGCTGCTCCCTGCCGGGCGAGCGGGTGGTCCTCGTGGCCCACGCGTGGTGCACAGTGGCGTGCGAGCAGCGCAGTACGGGTCCGCCCAGCCTGTCCAGGCGCCTGGTCGCGCTGACGTCCAGGGCGCGCATCCTGGAGCTCGTGGCACCTGACAGCATCATCTCGTGGGAGCAGCTGGAAGTCCTGGCCGTCAAGGACTCCCGCTGTCTGAAGAGGGTGACGGTCATGCCAAAGGGGCTGCAGTTCCTGGGCCTGTGGTGGGAGGGAGCCGAGCCGGAGCGGCAGCACGAGGTCTGGATATTTGAGAGCTCCCGTAAGCAGAAAGCGTTCCGCGAGGTGCTCCGGTACCGTGACTTGGGCCGTCCTCAGGCGCATCGGTACTGCAGCCGATGTCGCCCAGCTCGCCAGGGAGCACAGGGAGGCGCTTGTGAGGTCGGAGCCAGCAGGATTCCTCCAGTGCTTGGCGTTCCCGAGGAGCACGTCAGCGCCAAAGTCATGTACGCGGTGCAGGAGGCATGCAGCATCGCTCGCACGGAGGCCTGCATCATGAACATCGCATTCGTGTGGCCGGAAGACAGGAAACGTCTGACAGAGTTCTTGGTCCACCGCAAGGAAGAGCAACGGCACCAGGCCGCGCGGCTGGACGTGCTTGTGCTGACCACGGACACGCTCTGCAGGATGGAGTTGCAGGGCTTCCTTCAGGCATACGTCTACGCCCAGTGCGGCGACCAGTCGGAAGCGTCGGGGCACCGTGATTGGCGCACGCCGTCGAATCTCACCGAGGACAGTGACTCTTGCGACGAGGCTACCCCCGACCTCCGAAGGTTGGAGCGCGTGGAGGGTGTCCGCAAGTGCGGAAGCCTCTGCTCTTACTTCCCTTTCCTCCTCAAGCGGTTGCGCGGTGTCTGGTTCCTGGGGGACGAGCCGACGGTGAGGTTCGGCTGGGAAACATATTCGTCACACAGGGAGTTCGAGGTGGCTTTCCTGGGCGAGACGGACAGGCAGAGTTTCCGCAGCCTGCTCGCGCTGGCCCTTGCTAAGCTTCCCAGGGCCGGCCCTTGCGAAGCTGCTCTGGACCAGGACAGCGCTTGTGCGAGGAAGCTCGGCGTGGTGCCCCACTGGCTGGTGGAGCCCGCGTTCAGCACCACGCTGTCGGGCGCCACAGAGGAGCTGCTCAGCCGCCGCCGCGATGACTGA